TTTTTTTTTTTTTGTTCTTTTTTTTCTATTTAGTAAATGTAAATTGGTCTTTCCTGAATGCGGTATAATCAATTTGGGTGCGGTATTTAAGAATTCAGATATGAAAATCATTTGTTAATTTTGATGTCACCCTTAGATCAAGATTTCGTATTGATTGTTTGAATGGGCCTACAAATACTCATGTCCTTGTCACGTCTTAACCCTTTTTACACCTTTTCTTTAGTAATGATTATTTGAATGTCATTTTGATTTGTTATCTACCCACAAAAAAATTTGAATTTATACTAATAAAAATAATTATTTACAGTATTTTTATATTATGATATTTTAATGTAAAAATATATATCCAATGAAAAAGAGTTTTATTTTCTAACCACTAGACTCTAGATTATTTTACGGCTCACATCAACTTATTCATTTTGCTTTGTCCATAACCACTAATGTAGTCAATCACCAACTAATAAAGAAATTAAAGTGGCCCTGCTGGATAATAACTGATAACTACTATACTATATTAGTAATAAAATTTTGATCCCTTCCCACGGTGGACAGTGTCCACCACTTTATTTTATATGAAAAACGTATTCTGAGAATACGTTTTTTAATTAAATTAATTAAAAAACGTATTCTCAGAATACGTTTTTCATGTAAAATAAAGTGGTGGGCAGGGCAGGTGAGCAGGACTAATTAGCAATATTCTAAACTTAAGTACATTCGTGGAAAATTTAAAAGAAAAAAGAGAGAAAAATAGTGGAAGACAAGAGTATAACAATATTGATGACCACAATCATAATTTTCAATAACCATACATACTTTTATATTAAAAAAAATGTCATACATATTTTTATATTAAAAAAATGTCATAGCTATAAAAGTAAATATATACATTTTTCTAATAAATATGGATATACAATTTATTTCATTTTTGGGACAATAACTCCACGGCGCCAGAAAAAAAAATGATGATGTGGATTAGTGTCAAAACAGACTATTTTTTATTATTATTGTCCCAAAAATGACGAGGACGAGTATTCGGCGCCACCGAATTAGCTAGTGTCCAAAAAATAATACAAATTGCAACATAATAGACTGTTTTTAATGATGGAAAATATTAGTGTAAAAAAAAAAGGATATTTGACAAGTTAAGGGTCCAAATTTAAAATTTTGACTAAACATAAATATGACATTTAATAGCATTAATAGATATATATATATATATTTTTTTTTTATAATTCGACCCACCTAACGGTAATACTTCATCTTAGAGCACCCACAATGCATTGGGTCTAATTTTATATATGTGGCATATAAATAGACTTAAATCTTAGATGACATGGACAAACCCAAGTAAAAAACTTAAAAGCTATTCAATGCAAAAATAAAAATACTAGGGCTGCGTTTGTTTATTGGCGTTTTGGCTTTAAAAAAGCCTTTTACAACTATTTAGATGTTTGACCATACACAATCAGTTAAAAACATTGTTTGGTAAACAGTTGTAATAGCCAGTTTTTTTGGGCCAATCCGCCAAAATGAAAAACGTTGCTTTTTGCAACGTTTTGGCTTAGCGGTTCCAGATGAAAAATTAAAAGTCTTAATTGCCCCTTCCTCATTATTACAATAGCAAATAAATGAACATCTCTCTATACATCTCACAATTTCAGGAAAAAAACATAATCAAAATGGTGATATTTTTTTATTCAAACCCATATAAATAATATTCAGTCTCAAAATTTTGGGAAAAAAGTAATGAAAATCGTGATTTTTTTTTCTCAAACCCATATAAATATTACTTAGTTTTTGATATAGTGTAAGAGATATATTTAACTATATCATTTTTATTCCAACTAATACTTTTTACCAACTAAATTTTAAATATATATAGGCACAGATACACTATCATATATCTTAGTTCATCACATAATTAGCTAAAACAATATGACAAATTTTGTAGAAACATTCAAACATGTTGAGAATCAAAAAAGTTTCAAAGTTCCATAAATCTCCAAACAATTTGAAACTTCTAGTGAAAAAAAAAAATTAGGAACACCCAAACAATTAGAGAAATCTAATAAAGTAAAAGTAGAAAGAAAATTCTAAATAAATGAATTTAGTTAATTAGATGACCTTGAAAACTTTTGGAAATTGTTACTGTAAATATTAATTACTTTCGTTTTTTTTTTTTTCAATTGTAATGATAAATATTCTAATTGAGTCATATTTAGTCATATTTAGATTTTTCAAATAGTAATGACTCGTTATTAGTTTTGTTTATATGATGCAATCTTATTTAATCAATTAAGAAATATTTTCATTGTATTATTATTTATATTTTTTCTATAATTTAAATCAATTTAAATATTTAAAATATTAGTTACTTTTATTTCTTAAATTATTATAAGTTCAGCATAAACAAGAAGGATAAATTATTAGTATGTCCTTAGTAGTAATTTTACATGTTAACAGCTAATAAAAACATCTAATTTTACCAAACATTTTATTACAAACCGTTAACACAATCATCTGGTCAAAATAGTTAATTTAATCTGTTAGTCAAAACAGGTAATACAATCAGCTACCGCTGATTACCAAACAAGGCCTAGGTCTAGCATACATCTCAACCAATAAAAATACTCTAATATGTTTCCTTTATTAAGAAATTAAATTAGGAATAAATGATGAATGTTTGGGTTTGTACTCGGGTCCAAAATAGATCTAAGAGACTCAAAGCATTGTGGGTGCACTTAGTACAACTACCTATTTTGAGGATAACTAGTAGATATCCTGTGCACATGCACAGATGTACATAAAATATTATTAAGTAATATTTGAGAATTTAATATTAAAATTCTAGATAATGAACATATTGCATTTTCAAAAATTTGATCATTAGCAAAATTAAACTAACAATTTTATTACTATGAATAATTATTTATTATCATTAGATAATAACAGTTTGATTATTATTATTATTATTATTATTATTATTATTATTATTATTATTATTATTATTATTATTAAAACAATTGTTTAGAAGCTTCTAAAGTTGTTTGACTATGTTATTAAAACATAAGATTCTAAAATTGTTTAACTATGCTATTAAAACAATTTACTAATTGTTTTTAAAGAAATATTTTTATGAGATACAAAAAAAATAAAAAAATATTGATGTTAAAATACATAACTTGACAATTGTTTATAATTATGTAATTTATATTTATTGTGAATTATTATTAGTTGGTATTAGCAATAACTATTATATAATATAACATAAACATACATGATTACACTCATTAAGATGTATTAATGAAGAAGTAAAAAATATTAATGTCAAATTTTGTAACCGAAAATGGAGGAAAAATTTTAGAGGTTTTATTAAATGTTTTATTAAATGCTACATGCTAGCAATTATATATATATAGATAAAAATTTGTCATCTAATAATGTAAGAGAAGAAAAGAAACATGTTAGGCAATTTTCATAATTAGGTCAAACCGACCCTTAATGGAAGCAAATGATAGGTGTTTCAAGTTGAAAAAAAATGGAATTAAAATTTATAAGCTTTAATAATGTAGTCAACCACTAAGTGGTCCTGCTGCATAATAACTGTCAACTATGAAAAAAAACAAAAAGAACATAAGACAAAAGTAGAAACACTATTGTGTATCTGCATTCATTAGACGTGTTTGACTATTTATATTTTTTTTTTTTAAAAAAAAAAGAAATACATACTTGTACTAATATTTATAATACGATTCTTACATAGTAGTGTAAATGAGCTCAGTCGAGCTCTAGCTCATGATACTCAAATTCGAGCTCGACTCGTTTATCAATATTGATAAACAAAATATAAAATTCTTATTTTTAGGTCTTTTTAGGTCTTAACTGATTCTCTGTTAGTGATGCAAGCCTTTTTAAATTCAATCCTGGTTGTGAAATTCTTATATATATATTTAAAAAGTGAAATAAAACAATCCTGGTTGTGCCTACACCTTTAATACTCCCAAAACAGTTATCATTTGGGCATTCTAACACTTTCATCATAACTCATCAAGTAGTGCTAAAAATTTCAAATTGGTAGGCCCCTTATAAATATTACACAAACATGCTCTCAAATCTAACTCAGCCGATCAAATCCAACTTCAACTCATACTCCTCAAAAACCACTTTCCTTTCTCATCTCTTCACATAATCTCCGCACACCTCAACATCACAGCAAAAATGGGGAACTGCCTTTGCCTTGTCCATCAGGACGACAAAGTTGTCGTCCGAGTAATGAAACCGGACGGTAAGATCCTAGAATACGAGCCCCCGGTTAAGGTTCAACATGTGTTGTCCAATTTCTCCCACCATGCGATAACCGACGAGCTGCCCGTCAAGAAACACATGCTCCCGAGCGCAGACCTTGCAGGGGCCCGCTTGTACTACCTGCTTCCCCTGACGGTACCTCCACCGCGAAAGCCTGCAAACGAGAACAGAAGCAAGAAGAGGGTTCGTTTCTCGGACGACGTGAAAGGTGGCTCGGACGGGTCGGCTGAGGTAGCGCCAGCTGGCACCGTGAGGATCAAGCTCGTGATCAGCAAGCAAGAGCTTCAGGCCATGCTGAGTCGGGAGGGAGCTTTGGTCGATGGCTGTTGTGACGCGATTTCGAAAGATCGGGGCTCACCTTTGGGAAGCACTGCAGAAGTTAACTAGCAACTTTTTTTTTTCTTTTCTTTTTTTGAGTTTGGGTCGATTACGAAACGATGCTCGTTCTTCTTTCAAAATTGTAAATACCTCTCTACTTTGAGTGGGTATCTGCAATTTTGAAAGATTGTTGGAGGGTTTTATTGTAATTAGGCTAAACCTGGCTAGAGTAGTGTTTATACTTAAGAGTCACACCTTTAAAACAGTAGGGGTTAACAGAGATACTATACAAAGAAGTTTTTGTGTTCATCACAATTCACAAGTGTAAAAGACACTCCTTGGTTGTATTACGACAAGATATACGATGCTACGTGATCGGAGATTATACGTATCAAGCAATCTTACAGATTCAGAATTTCGAATATACTGATAAAAAGAGACAACTGCTGTCCGTCTAAATCGACAAAATAGACAAGAAAATTACATGAACAGCCCCTAGAGTTTTTTAGACCAACTACAAAAAGCTAAAAGCTCTGTCATCATCTTTTACAGTTACAGGTAGTTAGACTGGGGTCGTTGTACAACAAAAACAAATGTCAAGGAGCCAATTGTAATTTTGAAAGATGACGTGTTTTGTTATGAAACGGATGCACAATGATTATGCTGTAAATCCTTCAAAGGAGGTGAATAGTTTGAGTTATAGATTTAATCAGAGCATATAGCAAAACTTGATATCTGTATTGAGCAATCTTTCTAGTACACAAAATTATTTAAGTAGTTTAGGTTAATTAAATTTGGTTTGATACCTATTTTCTTCTCCTTTGAAATTTTTCTTAATATTTTATTGTTTCATATAAGGTAAATTCATATTATTCATATTCGAAAATGTCCTTAGATCAAATATTAACAACAAATTTCTTATGTAGTACTATATATTACAGCATCGTCTGTCATCATAATTTCTATACACACATTTCCTGGAGAAAGTTGGAGAGCAAAACACCAAAAACCCCAATAACGATACGAACATAATAGCATGTCTATTGTAGCTTCACATTTGAACCATATATTAGTGTAGGATTTTGTACCAGGTATTTTGTATAGTACAAACTGCAGTCAAGTGTGTTTCCTTTCAACTTCAAGCGATATTTCATTACGGCGATTGAATGGAAGTGTAAATGGAGGATTGTACTGCACAATGGAAATAAAATGAAATTACAAGAACATAGAGCAAAATTAACAATGTACTGACTGTATCCATCGTGTAGATATGCATGTTTGGATAACCGATAACTTATGTACCTGAGCAACTTCCAGAAAGGCATCCTCTTTTACACAAAACTCAGGGTCGTCGTTTAGTAAGCGCCTGAGTGATGATTCACGTCGTTCGACTTCTTCATCGGTAACAAACCCTGACAAATGGAAGTTAAAATGCAAAAATAAGAACATTAAGGATTAAGGGCTATGTTTGGTAAAACTAGCTGATAACCGATAAGTTAGTTGATAGCTTATAGCTGATATTTTATGGCTTATGGCTAAAAAGCTAGCTGATATGATAAAAGTTAAACTAGCTGAAATAAAAAATTCAACGGGCTTATTTGAAAAGCTACCCAAAGAGAAGCTTGTGATATAAGTTCGAGGTTTTTCAAAAAGTTCGTCCTACCAAACCAAGTTTATTTGTATACAATTATAAGTTAATCAAATAAGCTATAAGCTAGCTAGCTTATGGTGTTTACAAAACACACTCTAGATACTCGAAATGAATGTTTGCTTGCACCAATTTTGCTGTAAGCAAGAAAGCTTGATGTACTCCACATGATAAACATGGACTTAAAATTAAGTGATTACGGCCTTCTTCAAATGGGCTTTCTGCTGAGGCTTTGTTTGTACAGATGGAATTGAAGTTAAGGGTTTCATTTTGAAATCGATATAGCAACAAATCCTCTGAATTCATTATGATGATATAGCAACATTCTTAGCTCGATTTCTAAGATACCTTTTCGAGTTGGTTTGGTGGAATTCAAATTTGATGTTATATGGAGTCATACTTGTATCATTTTCTCAAATCCACTCCTCAAATTCAAACCCTTGAACCAGCAAATGCACACGTTAATCGATATTCTTCATATACTGTCTTTGCACGTGAGCAAAAGAACGCTTACTTGAAAGCAGAAAAATAAGTAAATTATACTTGGATATCTCGTGCATAAATAAAATATTCCGTAGAAAACAAAAACTCTCATGAGATAAGAAAAATGGCGTATTATGCAGCCACGTTTATTTTCTGGTGTAAATGAAAATCCTCCAAAATTACAAGTTGAGCGTGTAACACAAACCTGAAAATGCAGCAACTGCAATTACCCTTTTAGGCACCTCTTTTATTTTAATGGATGAATCCTTTGGCAACGGCAAATCGGCACCATATTTTGATGGCATGACAAAAGACATTGTCCACTTATCTTTATTTTCCACCTACATAAACATCATTAATTAAATTGCAATTCACAATGAAATAATTGCTATATGCTTGACTTGAACATGATTAACATAATGTGGTCTATTTCACATATACTAATATCGATCAACATCAGGAGATGGTTAATGCTTTTATTCCCATGTGAAACTATAAATACGGAGAGTAAAACCTCGTGCAAAACAAATAAACCATTCATTAAGGAATAAAGAACGGATAACATTAATATTACCCTTCTTGTTATCACTGGGGTTGTCATATCCATTTTCTCCCCTTCAGATTTTGTTCGACGAGTAAGAACTGGTGTAGTCATCTCCATTTGCTTCTCTTTAGTATTCTGAAAGCAAAGTCAACAGAAAGTGACACCAGTAACAATAGTAAAAAAAACGTTAAGCAGCTAAAATCTATGATGTAAAATTTCATTCTCTTGGGCATCTAAAATATCCGACTACCTTACCAAACAAGTACTCGGCCAACACGTTGAAAGATCGAGATGCACCACCAAAATCGAATCCATACTTCCCAGGCATTGTTGTCTCGGCAATAAAGTAAGACTGTTATTTTCCCCCATTGGGGGTAAGTTCACAAAGTCAGAAGATGAATGATAATATAAAGGGAAAAAAAAAATGTGCTATGGCATTCAAAATAAAAATGAAGCAGCAAAAACATAACATCAAAGATTTGTGATGCGAGTCCAAAAAATTGAGACAATTCAGAAAGTGGATATACTTTTTGTTAGATAGGAAGCACATGTTGGGAGAATGTGCCTTGGCTGAACAACATTGCTCGAACAAATAGCTTAGGATATTTCAACGGTTTAAACACGATACATGAGTTCAAATTCATTAGATAACATCTATCTGGACTCTGTAGAGATTCTTGAAAATAAAAATTTCCGTTCGACAAATGTCCAGCACCCAAAAAAAGATAACATCAACTAAATTATGAAATGAAATAATACCTCAACTTCTCTTATCTCATACAGCTCACTCCGTTTCAGAACCTTAAACTCCACAGTCTCAAGATCCGGAACTTTAGAGGAGATAATACATGAAAATAACCAACATAACTCCATCAACACTAAATATAATAACAACAAATGGACAAATACATAACAGCAACACCAACTAATGAACGTATGCTAAGACCCACCTGACATCAATGCTTCCTCAAAGCTCCTGCTCTCAAATCTCCTACTCGGAAACACATATTTCGCGGTCTCATTCGCGAGATCCATCAAAACTAACAAATCAGAAACCAATAAAAAAAATGGAATTTCAGGGTAGCAAATTAGAAGCCAAAGCAATAACTATCTGTCTTTATTCAGTCCCGCCCAAACGCGCACACACAGGAAAGTTCTAATGGTCTGGCGAAATGCAACAGGGCAGCACTGAAAAAATCACAGTAGCTACAAAAACTTGATTTTTTTCAATAAAACAGAACTACGGATGAAATCTGGCAAAATGCAATCGGGCCGGCATGAAATTACACAGTAGCTATAAAAATCGAATCTTTTACAGTAAGTCATAACTGCAGATTCTTGACTACCCCGCTGAGAACGGGATGAATTCCGGTGAAATGCAACAGGGCCGGCATGAAATTACACAGTAGCTAACAAAATCAAATCTTTTATAACAAAACACAACTGCAGATTCTTAATTACCCCGCTGGGAGAGGGAAGAAGTTTGAGCAGCCAGCGCGAATACGAGCGATAGCCGAGCTTCCATAGGCGACATCGGCGATGCACTCCTTTCCCCTTTTTTCGATGTGCCGTGAGTTGTCGCCATGGATGATGATCTCACGGAGAACATCAAAACCGGACATGAATTTAGGGTTCTGAGATTAAGGGAGATTAAAGGTGTGTTTGGTTCAATGGAGGGGAAGGGAGGGGAGGGATTTTAATGGAGGGAAAGGGAGGGGAGGGGAGGTGATGTAAAATAATTTTACCTTGTTTGGATGGATTATTTAGGAGGGGAAGGGAGGGAAAATGGTAAACCTTGTTTGGTTGATGAAGGGAAAATAAACTAAAATGACAAATTTACCCTTAATGAAATAAAAAAAAAATTAAAAACAATTGAAAGTAAGGGCTAAAAGGTAATTTCATATCATTATAAACCACTTCCCCTCCAAATCCCTCCAATTTTGGAGGGGAGAAAAAGTGGGGGAGGGGAGGGAAAATCACTTAAAATTTTCCTCTCCCTCCCCTCCTAATTTTTCAACCAAACAAGGGAAAATTAAAATTCTCCCTCCCCTCCCCTCCCCTCCCCTCCCCTCCAAATCCCTCAAACCAAACAACCCCTAAAGGGCTGGCGAGAAGCATTTTTGTTAAGCTCGAGTTGTCTCTCCAAGTGACACTGTGACACTCGTGAATTTAGGAGTTAAGCTAATAATGCATATATTTTTATTTTTATTTTTTGCCTGTATTTGGCTTTCAAGAAATTTTAGGAAAAGAGATGAGAGTAGTCTCTACCACAACTATTCAAAATAATTGATATTTTACGAAGAAGATATTTTGTTTAAATAGTACTACCTCCTATTTTTAATAGATGTCGTTTTGAGAAATTGCACATTAATTAAAAATATTTTTTTTTCATAATACCCTTATTTAATGAAGATAGAGATGAATGTTTTGAGAAAAAGTAAAGAGTGAATATGAAAAGACGTAATGTATTTATTAGCTAAATGAGGGTAATAATAGAAAAATATGTACAAAAGATCCAAAACGACATTTATTTAGCAAATAGTTGATAAAGCTAGAATGACATTTAAAAAAAAATAGGAGGGAGTACTATTTATTCTATCAATATTATTCAAATTTCAATAGTAAATTACAGTTTTGATTAGTCAATTTGTGGAGTGTACAATGAAAGTGTTTGGTGGTCGACTCGTCGGGCTCGGGATGGCCTCGATTGGGTCCCGAACAGCTCTAGGTTCGACCCGACAGCTCCTAGCAGGTCCCGGTAGCTCCCGGTAGGCCCGGACAGCAACTGGTAGGTCTCGGACAGCCCCCATTTGAGCCCAAACAACTTCAAGTATGTCTCGGACATCAACCTTTAAATCCTGAACTTGTCCTGGTTTGTCCGCTTCAAGCTAAAATCAGAAAATGCCAATAAACACAGAAATTTCAGCAACCTATTAATATAGATCAATAAATTGACAAAGCTGAAAATAAATAAGGAATATAACAGGAACGACTACACCTTTTTGCCGAGTTCTTGAATGAGGCTCGAATGCCACTAATTTCACGATGATGGGTTGAAATCGACCATGCTCTGTCCCCTTTCATCAAGCCCTCAAAATTTAGTCACCAAAGAACCCGATCGATGGACCATCGACTTCAATAAAACACCACCTACCGTTGCACAAAGCTCGGCCCAAATTTTAGCTCCTACCTGAAACCCCTAAAATCCCATCACAACCTAACTCAGCTCACACACTAAAGACCCCTAACACACTCACAATCTCATAATCACAAAGATTCAATAAGATAAAAGAGGCTTGGGTCACTAGACACAAAGTCGAAAAAGAGTGCGCGAGAGTCGAGAGCAACAGAGAGAATAGGTTCTAGTTTTTTTTTTTTTTTTCTCAAGATGGTTGCGTAGAGAGTTCTAAACTCTTAAGGCTATAAATATTGTTGATGGTTGCTTAGGTTAGTTAATTAAACTTAGGGCTGTAGCAGGTGATTAAAAGAAAAGAAATGAATGGTAAAGATCTGGTCAATTATGTACGAATGGCCAAGATCACTCAGATCATCTGGGCTGCCAAATTGGGCTCAGGCCAAAGAATTGTTTGAATATTGGGCCAAAGAATTGTTTGAATATTGGGCCATGAATAAATATCACTTGGCCACAACACCAACAATCTCCACCTTGGCCCAAAGTCGGTTCACATGACTCGGGTTGACAGGGATCATCATTATCTTACCTTACCGTACTTGTACTCAAACACAAAGTTAGGGCAAATATGCAGCAGACACAAAGTCGGCTACTTCACATAGAGTCACATAACACGTATCAATCACAAGTATGATAAATCAAAATTTTCAAACAACACGACATCCATTTAAAATGCACTAAGAACCATGTTCTTAGTTTACAAACATAAGACCACAAATTATTCACATGCAAGGACTTTATTTTATTTTCCACAACATTCACCCATTGCAAATAATTTTTATGTTTAGAAGCATATCTATTCAAGATCTATTTCTAGTCGAATGATAGTCATGCAAATCACAAAGATTAGATTTTGACAAATTTTCAACAATTTCCTCATGCACAACAGCATCATCAACATATTTATCAAGCACATTTGTAGATAGATTGTCAGAAATAGAGTACTTGATATGGGATATTATATACACAAGGCTAAACCGGTCTGCTCAGCCGGTCGAGAGGGTCAAACTAAGAGGAAACCAAGACAAGGAGCGGGAGGATCGATCATTCAGACAGTCGACCAAGCAGGTGGTCGACCAGTCCGTCGCACGACCCGAAAGACGATCGAGCAACCCGTCGCTCGATCAGATACATGATCGGGCGACCTATTCGACCTCAACAGGTCGATCACTTCGAGGAATCAATAATCGACCTAGTCATGGGCGCGTGTACCGCGGGCGCGCGTAAGAGCCTCTAACTGAACCTCAGGAGAATATTTATGTAACACCCCACTTTGATTTTACAGAAATTCCGGACTTTCCAAAAATCAGTACAAATTTTTCGAGATCATTTTTGAAATTTAATGGGTGTTAAACAACATTTTTCATAACCCAAGTCTTATCTGGGCCCACGGGAATTCATTACTCGGTTTTCACAAATGGTTTTCATTAACCAAAACATATCATACGAGACTTAATACTCAACATGAATAATCAACCACATCATCATATCCAATAATCAAGGGTTCCACAAGTTTTCCAAAAAAAAACAAGTCATAAGTTTTGGAAAAAGGTTTAAGCAAGTCTCAACATAAAGGTTCATAAAGTTTTATTTATTCAAACGGAAGCAATAAATGCATGACCGACCCACTCGCCTCTTCTCGTCACCCAGCTCCTGCTTAACCTGCATCGGTGAAGAGCAGGTGGGGATGAGCACAAGATGAAAAGCGTGCTCACCACTATGCACATATATCATCAATAATAAAGTAAAGGAGGTATGGTTAAAGTATGAACATAATTCAATTATTCTGTCACGTCTCCTAATCACATCACAACATAATACCCACGTGTACACATCTTTCATTAGCCAAGGAAAGGGGATTCATTACCCTAACTCATGGGGATACGTGCCATACGACAAGGCACGGTCTTTCATTAGGTAATCGTACTACATCGACGGGGACAACCGTACCGACGGCCGAATTGGCTCACGCCGATAGGCTACATGGTTTACGTACATACTAAAATCATACTAAGTCAACATTATGATAAACACATATGGCATAGCAAATTTTACAATTACAACCCACCTGGATAGCTCGGTAGAAAAAATAGCACATAATCACAAGTACGTAGGATGAGGGCTCGACTCCTCAAACACCTACATTTAAGCGAGATAATATATCAATAATCTATCTCACTACTCGAATTTAACATAAAACCCATACTTAATAAAAATTAAGACTTAAGGGTTTTAATCGGATTTTTCGTGGACTTGGAACTCTCTCATTTTTGCAAAATAGGACACGGAAAATTGATTTGGAGTCTCGGGACTTAAAATAATTTTTTCCAGAATTTATATCATTTGAAAAATATTTTTAAAATTGAAATCGGTACGAAAAACGGACTTCTGGAACTCAAAATAGGGTAAAAAGGGCAATTGGGCCAAACAGTTGGGCCTTATGCGGGTTTGGGCCGCAGCTAAGGTAACTGGGCTGAGATTTAAGCCTGAGGAGGGTGCTTGGGTCGGGCCTCGCGGGCCGGGGCGCGGGGTCGCGGGCTGAGCCTGCTGGGGAAGCTTATCGGGCCGAGCGCGGGCCGCTAGCGGGCTTCAAAGCCCGCGCTGCTGTTATTGACAAGGTGCAAAAATATATGACAAGGTAATGCGGGCAACAAGAATTGAACCCGGGGATCCTCACGCCCAAAGCGCGAGTCGTACCACTAGACTACAGGCGCTGCTTGTTTGTTAATTTGAAAAGTTTTGTAAATGTATTTTAAAAACAAACTGTGACTGAACCTGCAGAAACAGAGTTTTGCTGGACAACGAAATTCGACCAAATTTCGACAACATCAATTCCAACGGCAACCGGGTTTCGACTAATAAGTAAACAAACGAACATAACAATATACAACGTTTTGAAATATTTTTAAAAGAAACGGGTTTTGACTCAAAAACGAAACGACTAGAACAACGGTTCCAACGAAAACAAAATACGAATAATAAAACGACAATGCTCGAACATTAAACCGAGGCTCTGAAATTATACACTTAATCACAGGAACAAAAAAAGGGGCTCGATTTTTCACAAAGAGAGTCCAATGATTCCACGATATATCGCGAATAATAATCCGATGAAATACGAGTCGAATAATGAGCCGAATAATCAACAATAAATCGATTCAAATAGCACAGTATAAACGAGCAACCACGAGCATGAATATATCGAGAAGGTTCCGAAATAATTTACCTGTCTTAGGGAATTTACGAGAAATCGGAAAACGGGTCGGAACGAGACGGGACGAACGGAGCCTCGATGGGACTCGGAACTTTGAACACGGGTACTGCTCGCGAACAGGAAGTCTCTGGAATCGCTGAACGTGGTCGGGAGGTGCTGCGACTGCTGGGAACTCGCCGGAAGAAGGGCCTGCTCGCAGGCA